GTGCTACTTTTGATTGGTTCATGTGTGAAAAGCTTGATTCACATGTGTATGTTGATCCAAACATACTGAGCACACAGGTCGCTACTTTCTGAACGTTAAGGCCCAGATACACCGGCCAGTCACCTGAGAAGTCGCCGACACCGACTGTTGCGTCGCCGGACTCTCCTGCGTATTTGCCAACTTCGCGCACTGGAACACACCGCAAATCCGAGCCGAGCACGTATGAACTGCGCATGCGTGAGTGGCAATAACTCTCCTTACCAGCAGGCGGCGGTATTGTGTATTCATCATTCAAAAGAGGCAACAACCGGAACAACCGGAAGACAGAGAAGAAGAACAGACTCCGTGATATAAACAAACAACAAATAGCGTTTTTCTTTCCGTTTTCACTCTCGTCCATTGAAAACATGAACGAACAGGAGCTCTATAAACCGATGAGGTGAAATAGCCGTCCGTGTGTGTTCCATCTTCCATTTAAAATCATTTGTTTACCTCCCTCACTTCCGTTAACGCTTCTCATGCACTGATTCGCTAGCTGAACAGCCAATCAGTGTTATCCCTTTGTCCGACTTCCGGTTGTGTTCCCGACTTGAATCGGCAAGAAAAGGCGTCAGGTCGGCAGAAAAGACCCGACGGTGCGGCGCACACCACTCCGAATAGGGCGTGCCCACGCTCATGTTCGGCCCGACTCCCATTTACTGCCGATTTCGGGCCGGTGTATCTGGGCCTTTAAAGTACCGCAGTCACTTCTCCTAAGTCCTTTAGAATTCTCCTATCCACTATCCCTTAACCCCGTGACGTTTCACTCAGAGGTCAAGGGATAGACGATAGGGTTAGACGTTAGGAGCTGATTTTTGGATTATCCGACCGCAACCCTGATGATTGCAGAAGAAGAAGAACAATTATAAAAATATGAAAAACGCCACCCCTCACTGGTTGGTGGAGTTTCTCAGTGCAGATGTTCATTGGGTGTTGGAGGCAGCTTTTCATTGGTCTATGTAAATGTAGCTTTGTTAAAATGTATTATATAAAAAAGAAAGAAATACTCTGATAACGGATCCTCCGTCACATTTTTGTGTGGGCCGTTGACCCACAAACAGAGGGGTTAGTCACATTTGAAAGTAGTCAGTCTGTCACCAGAGGGGAGGGTTCGGAGCCAGCTCACATCTATTATGCATCAAGCTTAGTGTCAGGTAAACTGGAGACAAGGACGAAGCTGAAAAGACATGAGATGGATGGCACAAATACTTTGGAGTCACATCATAAAATAAAGTTATAGTTCTGGAGGTATAATTCACACATTTCTAAAGCATCAAAGCAGAATTCTGTTTTATCATAACCCCTATTTAATCTGACAGTAATTTGCTGAATAAATGTTCATTATGTTAAAATAAAATAATGTTAATGGCCACATTATAATGGGTTGAAGTTAAAGACCTCAAGAGGAAAAACTCAAAACTTGGACAAATTCAACCAGTATTTATAAAAAAAGATATGTTTGCTTTTTTTTTTGTATAATGGGGAAGCAATCCTTTTTTCTTCTTCAGTGTGATTGTTTTCCTGATTTTAGTCAATCTAGATAGGGACTCTAACCTTACATAATATTTGTTAAAATAAGATCCATGGAGTCATACATTAATCTTTTGTTTATTTTATGGCCTCAAAATATAAGCAAATGTAAATATTCCAGAAGGAGTGTTTGTTCTCTTTGGGTTCATTTACCAGAACGTACAATGTTCCTTTTAAAAAATAATATCTCAAAATAATTGGTTTAAACAAACTCACACAGTTTGCACAAGCACCAAATTTTGCGCCAATTTTTAAAACATATTCATAGATCCAAGTATGTTCCTGTTTCAGATGCTAGGAACTACTTTTTCTCAATGGTGTGGACAAATGTAGAGAAGACTATGATGAAACACATCATAAGAAGGCCATAAAGCAGTTGATGTTCATGCGCAGGTGCCTGAAAAGTATCCCTCGTACCTTAAAAAGTTTTCAGCAAAGCCTTACAAGCTCAGCAGTGGAGGTTTGTTCTCAGAGAGGATCTGCAATACTTCCACTCTTCAGCTGTTTCAGCCATGTCCGGTCACCTGACTCTCTGTGTCTGATGTTGGATCAGGTTGATCGCTTTCCCTCGAAAAGAAACCCCAAGTCTTTAGCAGAGCACACCGCTCAGCAGGAGGAGTTGCAAAGTAGTCTTTTTGTTTCTGAGAGTAGATCTGGACCGGGCGGACGATGTCTCTGTAGCTCCAGTCCTGGGGATGGAAAAGATTTCTGATTAACTTTGATTCATCATAAAGTTAATAACAGGATGAACACCCATTAGAACATACCCTAGAGTTGTTGTCTAAAATGTGCTTAGAATCACAAACAATATCTCTCCACCAAAATCAAATTAGTGGAGAGACAAATTACTCATCAACAGAATAAAATAATGAATTACTTGCATGTAAAATATTTCACACATTATCCTCAAACAGAACACTTGGTTTTTTTATCCAGCAAAATGTGAGGTCCTTATATAAAAGAATATAGAACAAATCATGTTGAAATCTATATTCTCATCTCAGCACCTACAGTACAGACAACGGACATATATCGGATCATGGACGACCACAGTTGGGGGTCTCTAATCTAAAGGCAGTCGGTCTGGAGATCTCTGACATTAAAGCGTTTGGTTTCCCCTGTGGTCCATTCAAGTTGTGTGTCTCAGGTTTTATGGATGACCGTGCTGAGGTCCTGTACCTGCCAGCGATAGTTGAAGGCTTCAAGCAGCTGAATCCTGCCCTCTCTGGACGGCACACAGTCAGGAGGAGGAGGCTGCACCATCTCAGAGCCCACCGTCACACCTCCAAACACCAACAGGGCGCGGATGGCAAACCAGCCCCCGAACCTCGGATGCACACACACTCCGAACATCTTCTGCGAGTAAGAGAGGGGGAAAGCTAAGAATGGAAACATTGCACTACAAGAGTGTAATAAGACTTAAACATTTAGATTCCTCATTATTGAATAGCGTTACCTTTTCAGCCCAGGGTTGGTCTTTGACATCAGACTGTTGGTAGTAAAAAGCTGCTCCGGACACGTGAGCCGCAGTCTGTGCCAAGAACTTCGGCTTCCTGCTGGGAAGCAGCTCGTAGTCGTACCTCACATCCACTTCCTGTCCTGGGAAACACTGCAGGACGGGGAGGGGAGATGGGCATATTGAGGGGTCACAACCTGATCATGGAAATATCTAAATTCCAATTGAACTGATCATAAAAACTCGTTTTGTCTGCTGCAATGGCAAATATTAACATTTAAAAAAAATATATATTTTAGTTGGTTATAAACAAATACAATTAAGATATGTTTATTTTTATGTATCAGACGTTTAGAACTTTGCCTTGGTTTCTGTTTCTGTATCCTATTAGATCATGATATGCACAAAGGGCAGGTATAATAAGCTGCAGTCTGCAACTTTATAAGTAAATACCTTTAGTCAAAATTGTGCTGCACCACTTACCTGGGACACAGCAGAGGACACGCAGCGTTTGACACACTGGTCTATGGGGTCAGACAGTCCCTGGCAGCCCCTCTCCTCCATGAAGGGCAGGAAGGCTTGTTCAAACAAAGCAGGAGTGCTGAGCACCACCACAGCCAGGCAGTCATCTGGTTGAGCGAGGCGCAGGGTGGGAGGAAGCAGAGAGTTATACCATCCGACCTGTGGACATGTTGGGACAGTCAGAGAACAACACAGGCAGTATAGTACGGTAGATGCATTACATTGTATTTTTCCCACTTTGAAGTCCTTCCGGCTATCAAGAAATACACAAGTGCAAACATACCTTCAGAGGGTAAACTTCAAATCCAACTTTTGATAAATAGTTATCCAACAGTGCTGTTATGCTTTCCACATTGGCAGTGGAAGCCGCCATTGCTGCATGTCAATACAAAGCTTTGGATTGTGGGATATGGTGTTTTTTAATTAACCGTTGTCAGAGTTGTCTTGCCTTTTCTTTAAAAATCTCTTCTAACAAGGAATGACAACATTATTATATACAATGTATATTGTTTCTGAGAAAGTCTATTGATGCTCTTTACCTATTTTGCCGGTAAAGACAATAGTGACCATCAGCGCCATATAGAGAGAATATCTCTTCTATCTATATGGTGCTGGTCACCATATACTACAATTCCCAGAAGTCAACACGCGGCTACGTCATGCGCAATCACGTCGCCGTTATGGGCTCCTGGATTTAAAAGTGGAGTCGCAAGATTTTCTGTGAGTAACGTTAGCCTGACTAGCCAGCTAACCTAAACATTTGTATTGTTTTCCTTTGACATTAACTATTCTCTTCTTAGCGACCAGTTTGCATGTTATAATCAGAAGAAGACTCACTAAGTGTATAAGAAACGATTAGTCATTATTTTTCCAACCAAGACAACAAGGTTATAAACGCTGTCAGTCACCTGCTAACTGAAATTAGCTTCGGTTAAATCAGAGGCTTTTTATAGTCGCTACGCCCCCTTCGCGTTATCATGACTGGTGTGTTTTGGGAACCCTGCTTAGTGTCCTTGGTTTTTACATGTATCTTCTGTTTGTTTCTGTAACTGATCCTTAAAGATGGCAAAATATTCCCCAATGTCCTGAAGATACGAGGCTAAATTTAGCAGGTTACGATTAGGAATAATGAAGTGAAAAGTTAAGAAAAACTTAAAATACATTGCTGGGCAACCGATCCTCTGTTTTTTTAAGCCCTTGTTAGACATTTTACGTGAAGTCTCAACTCTGTCTGAAGAAAACCCTTTTTTAAATAGACAAAAATGAGGTAATCCATTGTATTTTCATATCTAGACCAAATTGTATCATGTCTCAATCAAAAACCTTTACTGTTCAAATCTGGATTAGATCATCCTGGGGAAGCCAGATATTCCTTAAAACACAGTTTCAGATTTAGGAAAGATTCATCCGTTTTGGAAATGCAAAAATGGGTTGTTTTTTCTCATATAGAGAATATTTGACCAGGTCCACATCATAAAACACTTCAGACTCATTCTGGAGACCAATGTAGGCTCCTTGCATTGTCAGACAGCCTGCACATTTTTGCCAGCTAATAAGCATCACTACAAACATGCAAAACAAATGTCAACCCCTGCTGTAACCTAATCCCCATCAGAGTGTCAGAGATCTCTATAGGCTGTTACCTCACAGCCTAGCCACAAAGCCAGTCTAAGTCTAAAGTTACTGTCTCACTATCCCACAGTGGTTTTTGATGTTGCAATGTCACTGTCAGGCCACAAAAGAATTGCGCTAAGGATAACAAAATTAACTGACTAATGCTGATGAATGAAGCGTGTATTGACAACTTGATGCATTTCTTTCTAGGTTAATACAGACATGAACTGGGAAACTCAGCTGAGTTCTATCCTGTCAGTGGCTGATGGCAGCGTTGCAAAGATGAGGGTAAGTAGATTCAGATTGCCTTACCTTAATGAACTAGCTGGAAATAAAATACACTTTTTTTTGTGTGCATCAGTAAAAGGAGTAACCTATTCAACTTAAGAGAGCCTGTGATCTGCTGGTAATTGTCATTATTGGTTTGATCTGTAGATGGCAGTGACGCTCCACTAGAAGACCACAATTGCCACTTTGACAAAGAGCAAAGGATGTGAAAAAAGCCTTTCTTTCTGTTAGAGTAAAAGGGTTCATGGACAACATCGTATAACTACATTTTTTTATAAATCTTCACAAGCAAAGAACATATGGTTTTTAGGACAGAAATTCTCTGAAACAAGTTCAATTGTCTTGTTATTACATTGATTGGTGAGTCTTGGCTTAACCCAAGGTCCTTGTAGTTACAGGGATGACTGGCTCAAGTACAAATAAGGACACTCAACCTTACCTCTGTGAATTTACAACTTCATCTTTTTAAACAGAGGTTTATATTCAAAATGTGTCAAACAAAGCAGTATAAAACAACAGCAGCAATCTCCATAGATGAAAAAGTCTATAGCAGTGGTTCTCAACTGGTCAGGCCTCGGGACCCACTTTTTACTTGGTCAATACATCGCGACCCAACATTTTGAAGCAATCAAATCTATTCAACAAAGAAACGTGCTGTAATATATACGCTTTTCAGCATACAATATTAATACAAGTTAAGACCAGTGCATATATCCCTTATATCCCTTCACAGAACTAAAGTATGCTTTTAAAAAGATTTAATGAGATGATGGAATCAAAGATGAACTATATAAAAAGGCACACATGCTGAAAACCCAACCCCAGCAGGGGGGTCTGGGGGGATTCTCCCCCAGGAAATTTTTAGAAATACTAACATAAACTATGCATTCTGGTACACTCTGAGAAGAAAATAAATAAATCTATTACTACCTGACATATTAATAATATTTTATGCCATTGTTTGTTTTTCACTTTGTTCTGACATCTTGCTGCGAGAAGAGTAAAGAGGAGATAGTCTGTGTGAATTACTTTAAATTGTGGGTAGGGTAGATAGCTCCCATTGTTCTGTGACCCTTCAATCATCAAACCGGGGGTCATATTTCATTATTTGTTCATTTTTATCTGGAGTTGTACCCATAGATGTATAAAGAAGAGTTATACCGCAAAGTTATTCTCCGTGGGGACTAAAGGCAACAATCTTGATTCTGATTGGCCAGAAGACTCGAAAAAACATCAGCAAAGATATTTTATTGAGAAGATGATCACTACGTGACAGAAGTTTTCAAAACCGTTTATGGTCTCCGGTACTTCCAGTCTAACGCCGACTGCATGCACAGCGTTAGAAAATCGGGCCTTCAAAATAAAAGTTTGACTTTTCCCCCAAAAAAAAAATTCCAATTTTTTTTTTCTTCACTCACACATCCGCGAACGACTCGAAACGGGTCCAGTGGGTCGCGACCCACCAGTTGAGAACCACTGGTCTATAGCAATGTTGCACAGCAGCTATAGAAGATTTTAGTTGACACATTATTGGATCGTTGACTATTTTTGTTATGCCTGTGTATTGTCGGTGTTGTTTATAATATGTGTATCAAGATGGATGCCTTGTCTACTGCAAACCAAGTCAAGGAACCCGAGCAAGAACTATGTTGTTTTTAAAGTTTTATTTAGTTGTCTAGATTAAAGATGTGAGTGAGAACGTTTGGTAATTCCCTAATGTTTTTATGTGTTCACAGGAGAGACTGACGTCACCAGGGAAATTTGCTAAAGGAAGAGAAGGTGGGTTAGCTATTGTCAGTTTCTTTATATGACTAAAAGGGACATTGTTGTGAGTGTTACTTGCTGAAGCGATAAGGACACTGGTTTGAACTCTCACAGTCTCAACCTGACATGCCTCTTCCTCTACAGATTTGTTTCCAACCAGGGAGAGGCTTCATGGTTCAGATTTTGGCCCTCCTGCTCTTCCTCCTCGATCCCCCCTGCTCCGCCATCCTTCTCCCTCTCATGGTCACACAGTTCAGTGGGCAGACCTCGCTGCCATCCAGTCACAGCTACAGATACAGAGCCAGGTGTGTGAATGTTTGTTTAATCAATCCAAGTGTGCAAAATCCAACAGTTACCACAAAGTAGCAAATATTATGGCATGTATACTCAGTGGGTACTTCATTATGTACACCTGGACAATCTGATACAACGGCTGTACCATAAAATCTAGCACGACCAACTTTATACTACTCGGTTTTTGTTGATTATGTTGGGAATTTCAGAATATAATGACTTTTTAATGTTGAGGTTGTATTTTACAGTGGTGTTGTACTAGACTACATTACTGTTGTTAGAAATTTGGCACAGAGGAACCACTAGCCAAGCAACATGGAGCAGGATTAAATCCTCTCAAGTTTACTGTGGATGACTTTATGAATGTCACTATTTTTGATTTGATTTAGCATATTCAGATGTCAAGAAATCATTGGTTTTTGTAAAAAAGTCCAACTCAGTCCTCTCCCTCTTATTTGATCTCTGCAATCAAACCGTACGTACTAAAGTTTAAAAAACTGTGATTTTGTCAGAAAACTGAAAGTATACCATTACATGTCAATTGTTACCAACCATTAAAGTACATTTTAAGGCAGCACACTTGGTTTCTGCTAGATTATTCAAATGTCCCTAATAAACTGGTCCCTGAGCGTTTAGAGATATCAGTGACAGAATTAAAACATGTTTTTCTTAATTTGTTTCAAGACAATTGAGTCTCTCACCCAGAGACTCCGTGACGTGGAAAAGGAGAGACAGTCTCAACAATGTGACGTCCAGACACTACAAGGTAACCTACTGACCATGACCTCTTACATCATTCTATACCGGGTCACATTATCCCCCCGCAAACACATCAACACCTGAGTCCTGTCTATTGTTGAAAGTAATTATTATAATATGCTAACATAAAATGATTATCAATCCTTTCAATTTAACTTAATCCTCCTTCTGTTTTAATTATCTCAGTCCTTAAATAACTTAAACACACTTTAATTTACTTCCCTTAAAATGGGTCTGCTCTCTGTTCCGAGAATAACAACTAAACATGGAAAAGCAGCTTTTAGTTGTTATGCCCCAACAATCTGGAACAAACTGCCCAAATCGTGCACGTCCGCTGAAACACTTCCTAATTTCAAATCCAGACTAAAAACGCATCTATTTGCCGCTGCTTTTAATTTACAGTATGCCTTTTAGTCATGTATTCTGTTCCTGCTGTGTTTATTTATTTATTTAATTTCTTTATCTTTGCTTTTTATGCCTGTTTTTAAATGCCATTTAATAATGTATTTATGCTGTATTTGTTCTTAAATGTCTTTTGTTTTTATTTTGTAAAGCACTTTGAATCGCCACGTGCTGAAAAGTGCTATATACATAAAATATCCTTGCCTTGCCTTTAACTGCATGTAACTTTTTGTTTTGTTTATCCGTTTCACTCTTTTCCTTGGGGTCTTATAAACACTTTGGGTCAACTGTGTTGTTGTTGAGCTTACATTAAATACACTTTTATCAATTTTTGCTCTGACTTCTGCATAATATCAGTTGTATTTAGTATATCTCAGATAATAAGAGCGTGAGTGGAACTAATAGCAAAAGCCTCACTGAGTCATTAAGCAACATGATTTACATTTCATTGAACAAGTGAGAAAAATAACCACATTTTTCTGACAAGGTCTCATTTATTTTCATTAAAGAGGTTTGATCTTTGTCTATCCTAGATCTACTGTGGCTTGTTTTGTACCTCCCATCTATGTTGGTGTAGAAAATAGTTTGCAAAGTGAATAAATGTACAATTATGATAATGATGTTTACAAATTAGTTTTCACTGTGTCATTCAGTTAATATCCTACTAATCCTCCCGTCTTCATTCACTCTCCACTACTAATGTCTGTAAAAGCAAAGTACACTCATCAAAGAAGGGTTCATCCATAATTAAAGACATGAATAAATCATTCCGATTTGTTCTCAAGGCTGCTAAGGGGGAAAAATAAATCTCTTCCTAAAAGTAACCCTCTGTTCTTCTCCAGAGGAGGTTCAGCAGCTGCGTGAGGAGCGGAGGACTCGGGCCGAATCGAGGAGTGATCACAGTCCAGGAGCCGAGAGGAGGATGGAGCAGTGGAGGAGGGAGGTGGGGCGTGAGCTGAGCAGTCTGCGGGGACACATCACCAGAGCCACGTCGCTAGGCAACCTGGAGGAGAGGTGCATTATGGGTGGAGCTGGAGGGGTGTAACTGCGCAGTAAAGTGATGATAGGTGCAGCTCAAGATTGAAATGAAAATGTCTACACCTCTGTTTGCTTATAGGACATTTTCATTTCAGGTATGACAGAAAATAAATGAGAGTTTGATCCCCACTGTAGGAGAGAAAACGCTTATTTTGTTGTTGATTGTTTCTATTATATTACATTTGTTTACACCACAATTATTCACTTCCGGCACCTGGTTGTGGTTTAAGGTATTTAGTCTCCCTGTTGTGTGCTGGGTTTGTGTGGAAAGAGCAAGAGGGAGATTTGGTTTGG